CACACACACACACACACACACACACACACACACACACACACACACACACACACACACACACACAGAGAGAGAGAGAGAAGCAAGCTAGTTGACGAATGGAGGGCCGATGGATGTGGCTGTATTCCTGATCAGCCAAGAGGGCCACGCAGACCAATCTTATATTAGATATTTATATGTGGTATCTTGTACGAGTGTATGTTTCTTCAAGTACACGTGAGCGTGCACGCACGTGCACACACACACACACACACACACACACACACACACACGCACACAGAGAGAGAGAGGGATAGAGAGAGAGCAACAGTTCCTTGGCTGGAGATGGAAGCTAGTTGACGAATCGAGGGCTGATGAATGCGGCTGTATTCCTGAATGGTTGAGAGAGCCACCCAGACCAAGATTAGATTGGATACTTGCATGTGGTATCTTGTATGTGTGTATGTATTTGTTTCTTCAAACGCACACACACACACAGAGCGTGTGTATGTCACCTTTTATGATAATTTATATGCGATTATCCAGATTCCGATGTTTCGCAGAAAACCTCCAAGATCATAGTAAACCCGAACCTAAGTCCAATATGGACCTAACACACCTGAAGCACACTGCAGACTCGAATCTTAAATGAAAATGAAAAAGGTGAGAGCATACGGTTTCTTCAAAAACTCACACACACACACTCATACACACACACACACACACAGAGAGAGAGAGAGAGAGAGAGAGAGAGAGAGAGAGAGAGAGAGCGCTGTGCAAAAGGGGTTGAAAGGTGGCAACAGCAGTTCCTTGGCTGGAGATGCAAGCTAAGGTGCCGCTTTGGATGTAGATGAATGTGTGGAAAGTCGAAATCATTCTAGTGTAGAGTCTTGAGAGGCCACGAGGAGAGGATAATGTTTACGGTTTTACCTTCTTTTCCCTTACGCGAAAAAGAGCAAGGATGTGAAGGGTGTGCACCCGAGGTTCTATGAAGGCGGAGCCTCTTCTGTCTTCTTTTTCATCTTGCTTCTTGTTTGTGCCACCTGGTGCTCTCTTTTGAGGATTGACGGGTGTGCTGGTCCTCCCCTCCCCCCTCCTCCCCCCTAATAGCAGGCATGATTATTCTAGCTGTGTATAGGGAATTTGTGTCAGGTAGTGCTGTAATGGTCACATCTTCTATCTGGGAAAGACGACAGTGCATAGCTATCTCTTTAGTGCATAGTTATTCCACTTTACATACTGTTACTCAGCCTGGGTAACTAAATATATTTTTTTCTTTTTTCTCTTTAGCCTTTTTCATTGCCTAACCGACGTGATGAGAGAGACCTGTCATCGGCTCAGATGAACCCAGAAACAGAAGGCTGTTGTTGATGTTTTTTGGGTAGTCCCACTGGGCTCCCATTAGCCTCTGTGTTGTTGTGCCGTTGTTTGATGTGTTAGCAGTTGTACGACTTTCTGCATGACACGTGTTTGTGTGTGTGTGTGATTGCAGTAATGGGGATCGGAGGTGGTTGATGTGTCATCAATTCGGCGGTTGGATGCTTGAAGAGATTCGGATCATGATGACATTGATGAGTGAACCTCTGTGTTATTGTGGCGTTGTTTGATGTGTTAGCAGTTGTACGACTTTCTGCTTGACACGTGTGTGTGTGTGACTGCAGTAATGGGCATCGGGGGTGGTTGATGTGTCATCAATTCGGGTCGGATGCTTGAAGAGATTCGGATCATGATGACATTGACGAGTGAATTTTCTTGGCAAATCATTTATGAGAAGGGTGGGGTCCTGGTTGATGTCAGAGGGACGGAGACGGAGGGAATGCGGGCGAAAGGGAGAGAGGGAAAGAGGGGTAGAGAAGGCTGTCATTCCAACAGTTCAACGAGATGCTGGGCTTTGTGTTGACATCCTGTTGTGTTGTGGTTTTGGGCAGGTTGAGGAGCTGCACGTTGAGCTTTGCCGGTCCATCATCGATTTCGTACCAAGGAAGGAGGCAACGGCTCTCTGCCCGCTGGATGGAGAAAGGACTGTATATCACCGTGGGGATGTTTTTCATGCATTCCTTGGACAACTAGTCTTGAAGAACAGGGGGGCGAACAGAAACATCCCACCTGCAGGATTGTCAGACAACTGCGTGCTGGTCTCTGTCTATTTAGTTCTGTTGCATCTCCTCACAGAGGGTTCGGGAGCCGTAGACCCAACAAATCAGACTGCAAGGGGATCGGTGGCATCCTCATCATCAGGAGGAAGTGCAGGGGGAAATGGGTTTTTGAGAAGAGGTGGCAGGCGTTGCTTTCCTGTTCGATTGTTGTTAGATTACCCTCAATGTTACGACTTGCCGCGATTAGGGGGAACGTTCAGTCATTTGTCAAAGGTGCTACCCACGGATCCCTCACATATGGAAGATATCGAGTGGGAGGAGGACCCAGGAGACGAGGAGGAAGAAGAGGAGGGAGAAGGAGAAGGAGCGGGTCGCTTGGATGATGTCAAAGCAGGGGAGAGTGGAGTTGTGAGCAGAGAGAGTGAGGCAGGCGAGGTGCATAATGGCTACTGTCTGGCTGGTACAAGAGGCCACGGGTTCCGGCGCTCGTCAGCTGAGAATGGTCGTTATGGGAGTGTACGTGAACAAGGAGGGGGGATGCCTCTGCAACCAAGCAATAGCACCGGACTTCAGGGTCATTTACACAATCATCGGGAGAGCAGTCAGGGTCATTTAGAAAATGTTGTGGATAATGGTGGAGGGCGAGGAGGAGGAAGAAGTCGTGGTGGACCTGTGAGGCTCAGGGCGGCAGAGGAGAGGTATGGTGGCTCCTGTACAGTTATTCCGTCCAGCGGTGGTCAAACCGAAAATTGTCCAAATGGACCGGAGCAAGCCCGTGCTTCAGGATCTTTGGATGGCTTGTGCGGTATCAGGGAAGAAGAGCTTCTGGACACCATGGTGTTGTTGTATCACTTGGGCATGGCATCCAACTTCAAGCAGGTAAACACATCCTTCACAAAGCGCACTATCCAATCCAGCACTGTGTCTCCCCATTTTACTTCTGTCCCGCAGTTGAGTTACTGCCCCGAATTCCATCCCGCGTGTGTTCCTGTTGTCTCGGGTGTGGACTCTTTGCGCCTTGAAAAGGACCATTAGCCAAGAAAAAAAAGAGAAAAAAGGATGACATGCTGTTGTACCACCTCGGCCTCAATTCCCAGTTCAAGCTCATAAGCTTCTCCCAGTTGATGACGCACGTTGATTTGTCCCCTTGCCGTTGTTATGAACCCAGTGGGTGGATGTCTTTTGTGAGGCGACCGAGGAAGGCGTTGGTTTTGTTGTCCTTTCTTTCCTGGAGGACGAAGTTGGAATATGTTCGACTGTTGGGACGTTGTTGCTTATTGTGTGCTGGTTTTGTTCCAGCCTTGGATGCAGATTGTAGTAGTCAGGTCCGCTGCTTTTAATAGGACTTAACCACAAGTTCTGTTCCCTAGATATGTACACCACATGGATGGGGAAGGACTTGAACACGAGTTCTGTTCCCAGATATATACACCACATGGCTGAAGAAGGAAATTCTGTGTTGGCATGTGCTACGCTGGCTCCGGAATGATTCTTTCTATTGGGTTTAGTGGCTCTAGGCCGGGTCACTTACCATGTGGGAGAGTCTTGCAGCACTCCTCTGTCAAAGATACACATGAAATGCGCTATGGGGATGTCGGGTGCATACCTTCTTTCCTTTCAGGTTTATTGGCTCTAGGCTATGGTCACATGCCATGTGGGAGAGTCTTATGGCATCCTGTCAAAGACACAAGGAGACCTTTCTAATGGCATGTTATCAAGCTCGCTGTATTTCAGTAGCTGATAGTTACCTGTAGTTGACTTGCTCTTTAGCCAAAATGCCTGATGATTGTTTCTCACGGAAGGACAATCTTGACGTGCCAAACACTCAGGGAGGGTCTAAGTGTAACCGTTGCTTTTCAACAAATCGCATATGGCCAGCGTTCATTTTTTGAGAGACACTTCACGACTGTTTCTGAATAAACACGAGGAATGTCTTTTGAAAGACCTCTGCTTTGAAAATGCGAGCTGTCCAGTGGCATTTTCTCCCTCTTACGACCTGTCCCGTTAGGGTGAGCTGTGCCTGCATATGTCTGGTATTGGCAAAAAAAGAGCAAGAAAGAGGGTGTGCCACCCTACGCTGTGGATGAATGGGAGCCGAGCTCGAAAGAGGCTGAGACGAGGATCTTTACCGCCGCAATAAAGTACAGGAATGCTCAATGCTGCTTTGAACCACTCCCACCTCCTCCAGCTCCTCCTCATATTCCGGCCATGGAAAATTACTTATTGGAAAGTGCTGCCATAATTTTTTAATGGTATCTCTCCCTTCTTCTCCTCTCTCTCCTCCTCCTCTCCCTCCACCTTGAAACTCCTCTCCTACTCATACCTGCCAAATCATGAAAATGAATGCAAAAGCAAGAATTTGCAAGATTAGAAAGGAAAAAGACTTTAAAAAAGGTGAGTATGGCTTCTCTTCTTTCTCCTCCTCCCTCCTCCCCCTCCTCTTCCCTTTCCCCTCCTTGATAGATAGGTGGTCATGAACCTCTTGTCACGTGCAGCAAAGCGAAACTCAAAAAAACAAAGAAACATTTTCCAAATGTCGTATCCTGCTGCTCCCGTCTCCTCCTTCTGTCCCCTCTGCCCTCCTCGTGGCAAAATGTTTTTCTAAAAGGCGGCGCCTCCGCCTCCTCCTGTCCCCACCTCCTCCACAGCACCTCCTCTCCCCTCTGCCCTCCTTGTGGTATTGGTGTCAAGATGGGAGCGTCTGCTCCTCTTCCGGGACAAGTGTCTCGTTGTGTGTGTGTCTCTGAGAGAGAGAGAGAGAGAGAGAGAGAGAGAGAGAGAGAGAGAGAGAGCCCCTGCCCTTTAAGTGGTTGGTCCTTGGGAGGTGCCATGAAGATGGCGACGGGTTGCACTCCCAGATGGTGATGTGAAAGCGCTCCCGTATGTTAACAGGTGGTGGCAGGTTCTTGTCCTCCCCCTCCTTGCTGCTTGGCACCTTGAAGATGGCAACAGGACGACGCTTCGGGATGATGATGGGGCCGTTGAAGTGGCAGTGGCGAGTGACTACGATGATGATATAAACTTTGAACAAGTTAGGCAGGCAGATTGTCTTTTCCAATCCACCCCTTTAACTCATTCAGAGTGCAGCACAAGAGAGAGACTGGCCCGGTCTGGAAGACCAAACTGGACCCCCCCAAAATGCCCCCAAACAACCATCTCAGGTGCCACTCTTTTTCGAAATTCTGCAACAATGGCCTGATCTTGGGGCTCAGAGCCAGACAACAGACCTGAGCATCTGGATCAAGGCTGTCTGGATCACAATCTGGATGTCCCGATTGCGACCATAGTTGATACCATACTTGCGGTGCGTGGTGCGGTGTGTGCGTGGGTTGCCCTGCCCTGGTTGGCCATGTGCACACACCGCAGAGACCGCACAAACCAAGAATCGAATCTGTTGTTTCGGAATTACAACTCGAGAGTTCTCAAGAGGCTCTGCTGTCAGAGTTCTTGAAACAACGTGAATTATGTAGTATTAGTTTGTTTAAGTATGCAAACGATTAGAGAATCATCTATGAATGATATGGTTACACGCTGCAGAAATTGCAAACAAACTGTGCAAGCAGTCTAATGTCAACAAATGGAAATAAAGTTGGGTGCACCAATCTGGGTTGTGCTCGACCGCACCTTGTGCGCACACATTTTTTATTATTTTTTTTCTTTTCCTTTTTGTGTTGTATACTGTGGGTGTTTCGCGTGCTGATCGCGGCTGTACCAGACCTGAGAAGTCTGGTGTACGCATTCAAGGACGTCCGTATCGAGCTCAGTACAGTCTCTGGATGTATGCTTTCCCATCCCCCAGCCCACTTGCCCACACACACACAAAATAAAGAACTGTCTGATACAGTCATGAGGAATTTGCGTGGTCCTTGTGTTTTCTTCTTTCATGTGTGATTCGTGCGGGGGCCTCTTCTCTTATCTTTCCAGTTTTAAACTTTTAACGGATCCTGGAGAACCGCAGATGCTTAGTGTCAGATAAGTTGCCATTTTGACTGTACCAGACCTAGAAACCCTCTTGTATACATTCAGTATGAAAAGGACTGACACCTGGGCATTCTCTCTCTCTGTCTGTGTGAATGAAGATTAGGAATCTTTTAGGTCTGATACATTGATACTGAGGCTACATATTCCCTGGCACAAAGTGGGAAATCTACTGTCAGAGTTAGACCTGAAAAATAGTCGGTATACTTTCAGGGCACATTCACACTAGCACTTTTCTAAACGTGTCCGAACCCAGTTATGGCCAGATATGCGTGAATCTGACTGCAATCACGTCCAGAGGCTAGTAGTGTGAGTGTGCCCTCACGGATTGCAGTTCGTGAAAGCTTGTCAGTCTTCTCATTACAGAAAGAAGGTGAAGGCTGCTGTCAGAATTGTCTATTGTGGGCAGCAGAATGCACTCCTCATTATGGGTGTATCTGACGTGAAAGTTCACTTGCATTCATTGGAGCTAAAAAATCATGAAACATGCGCACACACACACACACACACACACACACACACACACACACACACACACACACACACACACACACACACACACACACATGCACAACAATTTTTTGGGGGCCACTCTTGAGCCCGGCCCCAATTTTTTTTGTCTTCATGAAGAGGTGTTTTTCAGAGGGGAAGGACATGGCATGTTACCACACCCTGCCCGTCCCCAATTGTTTTGACGATCCATATTTCTGGGGTGCGTCACTGCATGCATGGCCGTGGATGAGCCTGCACATTGCGCCACACAGTGCGCTGTAAGTCCCTACACTTTGGCGCGCAACATTTGGCCGATCCGGGCCACCCGCGGCCTACCGGCCGACGACCCGGATTTCCTCGCGATCTTAAGACTTTAAGACTAAGATTGCACGGCGATCCAGACCCTCCACCTCGCCGGATGGCCTGGATCGTCGTGCGATCTTAAAGTCTTGAGATCGCAGGTAGGACCACAGTCGGCCTGGATCGTTGTGGCCGTTGAAAAGAGGGCCCCTCGTAAAAGAACTGCCCTGGCACCTGCTGGCCATTGGCCCGTTGCAGGGCCGGCGGCGCTATGGACTTCCTCGCATCGAATGGCCTCTGACTTCGTGCCCTCGACCCGTGACTTGCAAGGCTATACTTCGAGGTGACTCCGTCTCTGCCCACCTCCCCTCTGCCTCCCCCTGCCTCTAACTTCACGGCCTTGGTGCAAGGCTGTACTCCGAGGTGACTCCGTCTCTGCCCGCCTGCCCTCCGTCTCCGCCCACATTCCCTCTGCCTCCCCCACCATCTCCTCTCTCTTTCCTCCCGTCTCTGCCACTTCTCCGCGTCCGCCACCTCCTGTCAGCCTCCTCCTGCCTCCCCCCAGCAGATCCTATCTCTTTCCTCCCCCGCTTCCGCCACCTCCCGTCGGCCTCCTTTCGCCATCTCCTCCTGCCAACTCCTCTACGCCTTTGCCTCCGCCTCTCTATCCCCTCTGTGTGTGTGTGTGTGTGTGTGTGTGTGTGTGTGTGTGTGTGAGAGAGAGAGAGAGAGAGAGATAGATAGATAGATAGGGAGAGAGAGATTGCGGCCTGCGCCACCGCCTCCGGCCTCCACCCACCTCCCCTCTCCCTCCCCCCACCAGATCCTCCTCCACGTCCGCTCTGCGTCCCCCCGCCAGATCCTCTGCCACCTCCCCTCCGCCTACTCCCGTCATCTCCTCCCGCCATCTCCTCCCGCAATCTCCTCCGGCCAATTCCTTTCGGCCTCCGCCTCTCTTTCCCCTGTGTGTGTGTGTGGGGGGGGGGGGGGGGGGGGGGGCGAGAGAGAGAGAGAGAGAGAGAGATCGTGGCCTGCGCCAATGCCTCTGGCCTCGGTCTCCACCCACCTCCGTTCGGCCTCCACCCACCTCCGTTCGGCCTCCTTCGCCT